GCAAATGGTCAGACATCAAGATAGTGGTCATATAAATATACACTACACTCATTTGTTGTTTAAGTTCATTTTTGGCCTGTTAATCCTATTTTTCAAATCTGTGGTATACATTGTACTTTGCAACTTAACTTATAGCACTCCATGCACACTGCAAGCTCTTCTTTCTAACCCTAACCATTAGCATTAGAGTTCTTGTTTTTCTGGGAGCTATAACTCCCTTTCTTTTATCTATTCATGTAAATAGTTGGGGCATGATAGCATAACAACATGATGTTTGCAATTGTGTAATTTTGAAAGAAGTTTGTAATTTTGAAATGTTTAGTTTGTAATTCTGTAAATCTGTTTTGTGTATGAATAGTTTTTCTCTCAATGTTTTAATTCACTGCACACTTGTGATTTATCTTTCTTATACGCATCTAATCATGTAATAATTTCAACATTTTGGGGCATACAGGTTTTGTAAAAGAATTGTACCAGCAACCCAATGCATTTAATTCCTCAACTGCATATTTACATGACATTTTTAACCATCATAGTTTTTGTAGTTACTGTTTGTGTAAAGTATGCCCATTATGTCCACAAGCTTTACAAGAGGATGGTCCAGACTGTGTTGAACTGAAGTGAACTTCAGGAGCTCTTTAGATTTCACTGATAAGACCGAGTCCCATAAGAACAGTGTGAAAAGAGCTCTCTAGACTCACACCCTCTGTCTTATCTCAATACTGCATAAACAACACCAACTAATACTACATAATCGGATTATACTCCACTGGGGAATACGCTTAAAAGTAATGAAGTGTCTGAATGTGCAGTGTCTGAACATGAATTATATAACTACTACTTTAATATAGCCAAAGAGATAATAAACATGGGTTCCTTTTTAGTATTCAAGCCTTATGGACTCAGACTTGCCAGAATTGATTGTATCTTGTTAGTTGTTTTTTATTACTGTGAAGCAATTTCTGACTGTGAAAGGCACTATATAAATGCAGTTCATTAAAGTCTTACTATACAATATTATTAGTGACTCTGCTAAGTATAATAATTTTACTTCATTATCACCACTGTATTGAATAATTCTTCTCCCAAATACCCAGAGCCATGTAAAGAGGGCATTCTCTCCATTACCACAGGATGAGGTCACATGACACCTTTAAATAGCCAAGTGGGTATTTTAATTGCTTTATCTCACCGCGGTTTAAAAGGGTTACAGACACAGATGGGCACTGTAGATGGGCACTACTACAGTCTGTACTCAAATACAGCTACAATACATGTCTTGAGCGGAAATAAAAGTGCTCAGTGGTCATTTACGTCAGTCATTAAAACCTCGGGGTCCCCAGGAGTTTTCAGAAAGGAAGTCCAAAAACAAGATAATGCATGTTAATGTTAATTGTTTCTTTGAAGTATATTATAAAAGCTGATCTTCTATAATATCTTTAAAAACCTTATGAACTAATTATATTTTCCTTATAGGACACTGGCTTATCAAGGAGGAGACTGATGTGGGGGTCACAAATGTATCAACAGATAAAATAGAGGTCGCTTGGAGAAAAGGGGTGGTAAGTAATATAAAAATATGACAAATAAATATATATATATTTTTTTATTGATTTATTACACAATTATCCCCCCATAAGTTCTCTAAAAAAATTCTAGAAAACTAGAGTCAGGTTTTGAAGCCATTATGAAATATTCTATGGAAAACAGTTTAGAAATTAAATGATGAAGCGTGATGGAAATACTGAGACCAAAGTTTGAATACAAATTGCGAAAATACATTTGATACATTCAGTGACACTGCATCAATGATTTAGTTTTCTCATGGGCTTACTGGGGAAGAGCGCAGCTTATTTAGGCATCTGCTGGAGAATGTCCAGATAGTTACAGATTTCTTTTACTCGATTTAGACTGAATCCTTGTTTTAGCCTGCGTCTTTTTGATAGGTTTTATCCCATGGTTGATTCTGAATTTTCCCATGTTACAAAATGGGAATAAATAGTGCAAATAAAGGCTCTGCTATCTTAACTTGTTTCAAGTGTTTTCACAATTTGTAACACACAATCAAGTGTCTTACTTTTATCAATCTCAAATACTAGAAAAATGGAGAAAATCTTGTCAGGAAGAGCATCTCACTCTTCAAACATGTCTCAGGTTCGACTAATTAAAGTTTCTCCTCTTTCTCATCAAAAACATACCTGGAGCTGTGTTTTGTTTCTTTCACACATGTTTGAGTAAACCTTTATTATTAGTCCGTCTACATCCCCAAAGCTCAAAATACTCTGTTTCACCTTGTGGTGTCACTAAGTAGTAGTTTTCAAATTAACAGCTACTTTTTACCTTTAGTTCAGTAGAGATTGGCAATTCCAGGCCTGAAATTATTCAAATGACTCTAGTGAAAGTCTATGGAGTTTAAAAACACTGTGAAGCACTTCTTGTATTACCACATGACATCACAAGGTGGAACATAGTGTTTTCAGTTTGAGAGAAGAACTAAATATGCAGTGTTTGTGTGTTAAACATGACTGAAACAAAACACAACTCCGAGTATGTTTGTGATAAGGAAACAACATTAAAACAGAGATCAGAAAACAGCATAATATGAGTCCTGAGTACCAAGATCCAGAGTTTGATTCCTTTAGGTGAGGAGTATGCATGAATGAAACTTTCCTCACTGTGCTTCAGTTTCAACCCTTCAACTTAAAACATGCACAATCAAACAATGTTCTGACCGTGATGCTAAGATCTGGAGATAGGTCCAGGGTGTGCGAAACTGCTATAACTGGTTGGATCAGCAGTATTGAAGGATGGGTCAAGACAAAAAAAAGAATTATAAGGGTAAAAAAAAAAATTATCACAATTATTTGAGCCATTTTTGAAAAGGTAACTCTTTAGTATGATTGCATTCATTTCAGTATTTTTTTGTGATTCTTCTTGTAAAAACACCAGAGTAAAAGATTAGTGATTATTATTTGAGGTTTGGAGAGACAGAAAAAGCACATTCAGAATTCATTCATTTATACTGTTTAACTGACCATTACAGTCGCAATTAAATACACTTAATTGCAAATAATCTTAATAAAAGTAAATTTTACATAACATGTCCCCTTTAAAAAAAGCTTACATCTATGTTACACTAAATGTTTTTGTTTCTGATCTTTGGCTTTTTTCTCCCACGTCCCCCTGTCACCTCCATATTCATCTTTCAAAGCTCTCCTTTCATAACGTGTACCATAAACCACTACTGTTACCATACCACATCCATTAGAGAAACTCAAGTATTGTGTTTTAGCTGCGCACAGGTCCAAAGGGGAAATTTATGAGGCTGTTTGTCTTTAATCATTAGTAAAAGTAATAGACTTGTATGCAGCACTCTCACAATGAGGTGCTGAAGTGCTTTGGGGGAGGAAACCTGACACAAATACAGGAAGTGCGGCATTTCAGAGCCAAGCCAGGAGCCGTCTGATGGACTGCACTGATTAACCACGGCTAGGACTTTTTATTGTTGTGTGGATAAAGTTGGACCTACCAGCCTAGACTTATAGTTTGTGTTATTTAATTCATAAATGCAAAGAATGGAATGTTATGAATGTAAAAATCTGATATTGTTGTGTTAGCTGGAGTTATAGTAATCACTACAACCAGACCATTCACAGTCAAGTTTCACTCCCACAGTGGATTTGAGGGGCAACGGAGACCTCTAGTGGGGACAGGGGTATGGACACTTGTGATGATAATAAGATAAGGCACCTTTAAACAGATTTTAAAAAGCATGTGCTATGGAGTTAATTCAAATGAATAAAAAGGAAATAATAATCTAAAGTTATTCCCACAGTTAGACACATTTGTGTATCGCACACATATTTACGCATTAAAACCTGAGGAATATTTGCTTATTTTGATAGTGGTAATGGGAAACTATTTCTGTATGGCAATAGTCCATAAGGGCAATGATGTTTACACATTACTTTTATAAATCAGCTTTATTATGATTATATTGTCATTATAGCCTAGGGGAGTCCAAACTATGGGGGTCAATTGCCAATTTCTATTGGCCCTCAGGCCTTTTCCTGAACTGGTTCAAGAGATCTTAGCCAGTATTTTTTATTCATTTTCATTTATTATTATTATTTTATTTTTATTTATTTTATTTTCATTTATTTATTTTATTTTATTTATTTATGTATTTATTGTATTTATGTATTTATTTTTTACATCAAAATCAATAACTCCTACAACCATAATTCCAATAACGTCACATTGCATTGTGACACAGACTGAAAATTCATGTTTCAAGCCTTCTTAAAGGTGTGGCAGAGCGGCCAAAACTATGTCAAATATACCCATGATCCACTGTATGGTCAGCTGTTTTGGCCCTCCATAGCAATTGTTTAAAACACAGATGGGTGTGAATCTGAAATGTTGCAGAACTCCAGAGTAATGAATCTATGATGCTGTTGGCCTGATAGTCTTTGTCTGCTGATGTGGAGGAATGCCACCTAAAAACCACTAGATGGCATATTTTACAGAGTAATTTGCCAAAACAGCTTGTGTAAAATTGGCTGCAATGCACGTTGTGCATACAGATGGCGCCATTGCTGCAGAAATGTACGTTGGGCTCCATAAAATGATCTATTTTCTCAAAACAAACAGAGACAGGCCCCGTTCTGCCAAAACACATTGATCACTGTGCACACAAAGAACTCTTGTGCAAGTGCAGGAAGTTCAGCGACTCTTTCAACAAGTTTAATGTTGGAACTTAAAGTTCTTTAAGTAAACCAAGTAAATCCAACCTAATAGGAATAAAATAGGTTTGTTGCATTGTATAGCCTACATTATAAATGTAGTTTATTTATGGCATTTGTCATGTCAAAGGAGAGAGTAGAGCTAGAGCCAGGAAAAGGTAAAAAAAAGCCTCATATTCCTGACAGCTCATTGGTCCAGATTTTCCTTGTGCTGCCACAATACAGCACACACGTGACCTGCTGTTTTCACACAGTTATACGCATGTACTTAAAAGACAGGCAGCACCATTCAGACACACGAGCCCAAACAACAGTGTTTTATGGATGTGTGAGCACTAGGACCGCAGCTGAGGACTCTCGGAGTGCGGGAAGTGCGGACCATGGCGGCTGCCACGAGCAGCACATCTACAGCCACGCTACCATTAAAACACACCGAGCTCATACGGAAACGCATCGACCCCAGGAGGAGGCAAGCCGCGCTCTCTTTCCTCAGTAACATTTCCCTGGACGGACGGCCCGTGCAGGACGATGCAGACAATCAGACCGAGGAGGAGGGCTCACTGGAGCCTAGGACTAGACAGAGCCTGGTTTCTCCGGAGCGATGCGTGTCCGCGGCAAGCGCCAACACGGTCGCTCTTGCAAACCAGGCTCTCCTTTCGAGCAACCGAGCCACTTACGGGACGGGTCCCCCCCACCCCAGGAGCAGCAGGGGCGCCTGCGTGCACAGACAACACCGAGGGAGACGCGTTCCTGCCCTCCGCCCTCAGCTCGCCCTTCTCCGCGGTGCCCACGTCAGCCAGAGGCAGGCTGCAGACCTACACTCAGGGAATCATGCCCGCGCCCTACTCCAGGCAGTCCTCCCACAACTACTGCCTGGAGGGCGGTCAGATAGAGCTGCAGAGATCCAGGTAACAGCCCCGTCCCGGGACGAGCCCCTGTGCACACTACACTGAGTTGAGAGAGAGTGCTGCAGGGTCAAGTCAAGTCTGTAGCCATAAAACCAGAACAACATGAGTTCAACAGTGTGCAGTGTCGCGCATGCTGTTGTTAGAGCATGTACCCATAGTTCAGCTCTAGTTGTCTACTCAGTGCAGTGTAATAACTAAAGTGACAGCATATTCAGTATAACATCAACAAAGTCTCACGTGAGTTGAACAGTGCATACTGTGCTGCATACTGCACAAGTCCATTTATCTTCAGTCTGTGTTGCCATTTGACAGCCCTTTGCTTATTATAGGGGCACTCTGTCTCACTTAACAACACTTATTCTGACCCACAGTATCAACCTGAAGTGTCCACTGTTATTACAGCATCGTTATAGAAACTCAAACAGCAGAGCAATTAGTGCAAATGTATTATTAATTTTATTCAGAACAAAATCCCTGCAGTTATAGGCAATAGAGTGGTCTTTTATGATAGCGTTGTTAACATACCACCCTGAGACTTGAAAGTAATTAGCCTATTAGTAGGCTAACTATTCTCTTATAATTGTCCTCTCTCCAGCAGCAACTTTGCTGCTCTGTCCATACATGTATTTTTGTCCCATTTTACACTCTAAGCACAAATATGCCTTTGTTTGTTTATTACTTTTTGCTGTGATGCCAAGTCCAACAGCTGTGGAGCCCTAACCCAGATTCCCAGTGTAGCCTACTTGTCACCCTGCTTTCTAACCTAATTTTGGGAAAACTAAAACATAAGACACACACCTGTTGTGAGTCGGATCAAAACATAGTGAAATTTGACCCTATTGTCTGGCCACATAAAACTCCTCTGTGTCTTTAAAGCCCTGTTCAGTGTTGAGTAGGTGAGGCAGTGGCACTAGGCAGCTGTCAGTAGCAGTTGTGCCATGGTCCTCTCTGTCTGGACCTTCTGTCTGACCCTCTTTTATTATTCAAGTCAAGTATTTTTACTATGACCTTGTGCTCCCCTTTAAGACTAACTCTCTCACATGTAGAAGTGAAACTACCACATCCACAGCCTGCAAAATGATAACATGATTCAATAGTCTGTTTAACCATTTTATGTCTTCATAGTATCAATTTAATAATCTAATATTTGTTACTCTTATGCTCAATGAATAAAAGTTGGTACAAAAGCTGGTCCATGAACAGTTCAGGCTTGATCAGTATAATTGGTATACTTGTATTTGCAAACCACAAATTGCTCTTAGCTGAGAATAGCTACAATCAATAAATTCCTGTTTCAGATATTGCAAGACTCTTTGATATAAAAATACTAGGTTACATACCTGGTGCAAACGAAAGTAAAAATTATGAGGGACTTTTGAACATTGGCCTGTATTGCACTTTTACATTTTTTATTTTATTTTTGCATTTTATTTCATTCACACATTAACACACAAGCCCTTTATATTTAGACTGTTCCACCTTGTGATGTCATGTGGTAATAAAGGAAGTGCTCCACTGTATTTTTAAACTCCTTACACCTTCACTAGAATTATTTGGATAATTTCAGCCCTGAAATTGCCAATACCTACTGAACTAAAGCTCAAAACTACCACATTTTGCATTTTAAGATTTGGAGATGTAGGTAGACTTATAAAGGATTACTCAAACATTTGCTCCAAGTATGTTTTCGAGGAGGTAACAGCATTCTAATATGAATCAAAGCTTTAATTTCATATAATATTTTTGTTCTTGAGTTTGGCCCATCTAGGTTCATAATAGCGCCACGTCTTTTCAATTTTCCATTACACCTTGCCTTGTCTTATTTATATGCCCTTGACCTACTTCAAGCTCAGTGCACACAGTGAGATGTTGTTGGACTTCCTTGGAATACCCTTGGAAAAACATCCACCTAAAATGAATAATAACCCAAATAAGTAGCATGTTGACGGACAGCAGGCTTATTCCTCTTGGCTCTGTTTCTCAGTCTGCCCCTGGAGCAGTGCACAGTGGTGGGTCTGTTCAGGGAGGGCACCTGGTGTGAACGTGGTCATGGAGCAGAGAGGCAGGATGCCCAGTGCTGCAGTGAAAAGCTCTCTGGCTCCTGTGCTTCCTCTCCCATCAAAAAGACACTCTCGCCCGGACACTTTTGGCCGCAGGAAGTTACAGATTGTCTGAAGTGCAGCCAAAACAGACTTTCCAAAGCCCTAGGTCTTAGTTTCTGTGGCAACACAATGATTATTTCTTCCACCTTAGGACAAAAGCTGTGTGAAATATGACAGCAAGTTAATTTTAATTCTAACATAGAGATTAGGGCTGGCTAGTATAGCGCAAAATTATCAATACTGCAATATTAGCTAAGGCGATGTACCATTTTGCAACAATCTAAATAATATAACAACTACTCCAGGGTTCACCATTTGATCTGACCATATGTTTTCATGATTTTCCTTTTAAAGTCCTTATTTTGTCTTTTTCTAGTCTTTTATTTTCTAGTGTCTGTGATATAACTGGTCATTTAAGACTTGTAGAATTTTGTTTTGTAAAAAAGTATTTTCAAATATTGCAGTAATTGTGTTTTATGCAATACCCAGCATAGATTTTCCTTTTTTTTTTCTTTTTGCCACTTAATTTGTAAAAATTAAGAGTAAAATTTAAGAATCATATGCAATGTCAGTTCCAATGTGAGTCATATCTACTTACATGCATTTGACAACCTGTCATTTCTGTTTGAGTTCCACTTTTTCACAGCCTCCCTTCATTCACCATGATTCAGCACGTTTGCTCTCTAAATACACCTATGCCATCTGGACCGATGATATTTTTGTTTTACTTGATCCTGTCAGATCCAGCCTCACACTTCCCGTACTCCAGCCCAGTGTTTTAACAAGGATTGAGTTTCAGCATGAGGCAGCACTAACCGCCGCTGGAAAACAAGTTGTGGTTGTCATTACAGGGACATGTGGAGCTTTTGTGGAGCATGGGTCAGTGCTTCTTCTTCTGGTTGGGAGGTCAATTGTTGTCCGCTGAAGTCATGGTTTGGAAGAATAAGTGGATTATGTAAGAATGCTTTGCTTTGCTACGACTTCCTTCAATAGTCCGCAGTCCGAATGAATGGGATTGCATTTGAGAACATGACTTACTATTGTGTACGCTAGTCTCATAGGGATGGTCTTTTGTATTGTGCAAAAGGGGCTTTATAAGATAAGCACCATGGATGTATTTATTATTATAGATCTATGGATAGCGGTTTGAGTACAATATGTGTTCTCTGCTGAGGTTAAACATAGCATAGCCCCATTGTGGAAAAGCAAACACGGACAATGAAATATGTTCTGCAAAGTTGTAAATAAGGCCATTGAAAAAACACAATTCTAACATGGCAAACTAATAATTAATAAATAAAAGTTTCACATCCCAGAATTATATGTTAACAATGGCCACTAATCACCTACAAGAATGGCCATTTTTATTTTAACTATAAGGAGAACAATTATTAGTAATTTTGATAGCCATAACAAGAGATGCATTATTGTATTCTTGGACATACAAAAGCTAGAACACTAGTTTGAAAAACTAAAGAATTAAACTGGCATTTTAAGTGTTTATTTGTAAATACATTTGTACAATGCACATTTCTATCTTAGCAATATAATAAAATTGCATAATGTACCAAAGACAATTAAAACCTATGCATCTAAGAAGGAAAATTTACTTACATAATTACAATACTTTGAGCTTGCTTAAATGTAGTTATTGTACCCAATCACAGTGCTGTATAATAGATTCCTTTCCCATTATTCTTGAAGAATCCTAGAAGTTGCTATGATGAGCCTAGTTATGTTTATCATAATAGTGTAATTTCCCCTTGCCCCTGAGAGGAACATTTGGTTTACTTCCTGAGCGTCTGTGGACTAAAAACAGAAGACTGTGTCCTGTGGCATGCTGCCAAAAGGGCTACGTGTGAAACTCATAATCTCCACTTTATAATAGGTTTATGGCTGTTCTGCACGGCTCTGTTTGTTTAAATGCAACGTCAGTGTATTGTGTATACTGTATAGGAGGGTGATACTGTCGGCCCTGTCAGTCCTGTAGCATGTATTACCTAATGTGACTGTTGATACCTGTAGTATTTATTACATATGTTTTATGTTGTTGTTTAATACAGTACATTAATTAACTTTTGCCTTAAGCTTTGCCATCAGTAATCCTGTTATCCAAGTGAGATTGTCGGCAGTAAAGTATAGTATTTAGAGATAGTGTTCATAGTTGATTTGACCAAAAATAAGCAAAAACATATATGTGTGCTATGTAACTTTTGTGGTGGAGGGTCCAGCTTGTTTCCATGAATGGTCCACAGTATGGATGAATCCAGGGGAGACAAGCAAGTGACATCTCTAGGGCAAGTTACAGGTCATATCTGTGTAGAGGCAACTCCACTCATAGTAAGAATATGTGTTTTTCAAGGTATTTTTCATTCTCACATGTTTAAAGGGCGTTTATTACACTATTTTCTGATCTGTGTTATAATGATTCGTCATCACAGACATATATGGAGCTGTGTTTTGTTTCATTTACACATGTTTAACACATAAATCCTGCATATTTAGACTAAGCTAACAGCCTAATAATGCAGCATTACTCAAACATGTGTGAATGAAACAAAGCTCAACTCTGGGCATGTTTTTGACGAGATAACAACATTCCAACATGGCTTAAAGTTCGCAAGAGTCAATTTTGCGTAATATGGGACCTTTAACTATTTATTTTAACAACACAGACAGACAAAAAGCAAATAGACATTACTATTGGAGATTGCTGTTTTTTTTTTTGGTTGTACATGTGTCTTTAATCCCTGAGCAAACTGAAGTGAATGAGTGGCCTGTTCTGTGTTATTGTTTCCATCTGTTTGTACAGCTCTGGAAAATGTCTTATTCATTAAAAGCACATTTCACAGTTGGTTATCTGAAGATCATCAGCAGCTCTTCTTCAAATAAGTGAGTTATTGTTTATAATACACTGCAACATGTGGGAAAAAAGGTTGAGGGAATAACACAACAAGCACATACTTTTGTCCAATATTTTGTCTGCTTGTCTCCATGGAGATATGATTAATGCAATTCTGTGGGATATTCCTGCCAATGCTATAACACTTTCATGGAGACAAGCAGGTGGCAGCCCCTCCACTACAAAATAGTGGAGGGGATATCAACTTATCATTCAATACACAATATGTTAGATGAAACAATTCTTTTTGGTGGTCATTATTTATCTTGGTACTTTTCCTTTGTTTTAGTGGGGGATTTTTGGTTATATTTCTGTACTATGATTAGATTTGAGCTGTAGAGGGTTGAATAAAAGACTTCTGTGACTCAATATGGATACAAACTATATACTAAAGTGTTTCATTCTGCTGTTTATTTATTGCAGTTTGTGTTTTTTAATCATACTATATATTTTAAATTGTTCTAATTCTGCTTTAGACTTATTGTGTTAGTTTCAAAATGATCGTTTATTGCCAATATTTTCTTCAAAGTTTCACAGTGCACCTTTAATTTGTGAAAAATGTTATACCTCCCTTCTGCAGCTTTCTTGTTTATTCTGGCATGGGACTGAACTTGATGGTTTACTTGTATAATTGGTATAGTATCACCATGGTTTACTTGTATAATTGTCAAAATGTGCTATTTCTTCTCATCGTAATTGTAACTGTCAGTTTTGAAATAGTGACTGAACAGGGACTGAACTTTTACTGTAGTATCTATTCTCCGAAAATAACAGACCTCATAAATACTGTGCAGTAACAGTTAAGAAATTACAATCATTCACAATCATATTCTATTTATTCATTTATTTATTTATTTATTTAATCTACCTAAATTTCCCGGAATCTACATTGTTTTAAAGCTCATAGCCAAAACTTCAGTGCATTCATGAAATAGAAGAAGCCTCACACATTTTCACAGCGAGTACAGTTCACCACCCTCAGGTTTGAATGTGTTATATTCTTTTGACACTTACATCTGTCATTTACATCTCCACATTTATCCACCCTCACACCAGGCTCTCTGTCTGTTCTTTAGAGGTGTAAATCCAACGGAGCATCTGTCTGACTTACTGCACCATAAAAATCTATGAGCGGCTTTACCCAAGGATTTGTAGATAAGGCTCTGACTTACTCCAATAGTCAGTGTATTGCACAAAATGATAGACTATGGTAAATTGTTATCCTTAAAGGGCTTATGTTACTCTATTTTCTGATCTATGCTATGTTTCCTCATCACAAACTTATCTGGAGTTGTGTTTTGTTTGAGTCACACATGTTTAACACACAAACCCTGCCTATTTAGACTGAGTTCAAATTGAAAACACTGACTCTAATTCCACTTTGTGATGTCCTGTGGTAACACAGGTAGTGCTCCACTTTGTTTTTAAAGTCCATACACCTTCACTAGAATTATTTGAATGATTTGGATAATTTCAGCCCTGGAATTGCCTGTTTCTGTAATGTAGTACTTGTAGTATTTATCTAGAATGGCAGAATTTGTCACAAATGAACAATTATTCATTTGTTCAAAATCCAGTGTACATTTATATTTGACTAACCATGTTAAAATGTTTCTCTGTCAGGCTATGAATCTTATGATGCTGCTGCTATATGAAGCCAAGACACAACTTGAGACAATGTAACCCCCATCATCTAGACTTTTATTCCCATTAGTGTTAATATTGCCACATAAGCTGCCAGGTTGGGCTGGTTTCAACAGCTTTGGCCCTTAGTACTAACTGGTCTCACTCAGCATGAGGATATTCTTATTTTTTCTGTTTATCCTGCGTCAGGTATATTATATCTCCTATAGGTTTATTGGCCATATGCACAGTTCCCCTGTTGAGAAAGGAAGAGAAACAGAGTTTGTAGGCGAGGGTCTTGTTGCATTACAAAATATGTATAGTTAGGAAATAAGCCACAGTGTTGCACCAAGTTATTGGGTAATGTACTATATATACGCAGATAAAAATAACACCAAATTGAAAGTGATGGAGAATTGGAGGAAAAGCTAGCCTATATCCTTGGATTAAGCAGTTGACATTAAACCTGGAGATTCTTGGTTTCAGGTTTTCCAGGTTTTTAAACATCCTTTAAATCCTTCATTTATTTATAACACTTGAAAATAATAATGCTACAAATAAAACTACAGGAACCTTAATGTTTATTCAGTTATGCGTTTAACTCATTTGCTCCTTGAAGTGTCTGTTTTATTAGATTTAAACTATATTGACTATAGTCCAGTTGGTGTTAAACATGCAGTATGATCCAGTTCATGAAGTACCCAGTCCCATTTGGTTGTCACACGTGTCCTTGTTTCTAAACCTGGCAGCCCATCTGAAGAAAAGTGCTCCGTACAATTAGCCTGTTGCTGAAAGTGTGAAATCTGGGACTAAAATGTGTTACGCAAAAATCACGACCAGGCTCTCGCTCTTGTTATAAATCTGTTATCTGCTCTGATCCAGGAAAATGCACTGTGATAATGTGAGATTTGGACTTGCCACCGTCCACACACACTAGAGTGAATACTGGTAGCCTATCTATACAACCCAAGACAATAACAAGACAAGAGGGTTTTATCACCAATAAAATAAATGTGAGAACTTGATGTACTTTTATATGGGTTTTTTCTATGTTTCTCTCTATGTTTTGTTTTTTTAATTGAACCAACCTGAGGAATGTACTGTAATATGTAGTATTGTTGGCTTCTGTGGTATATTATTGTACATTTGCACCAGCATCAATATAATCATAAGAACTAAATTTATAATCGTGACAGTTTTAAAAGCAAAGTTAAGTAATTTCAGTTCATTGTAATACAATGGAGTGCTTTTTATCTGTCTCTTCATATCACATTAACATTACTTGAATCATTAAGACTGTTTGATAAAGCTGATCACTTAGAAATAATAATCTATTAGACAATATTAATGGAAGTGAATTAAGGACTGTTGCTTGATCATTATGTCAAAATGGAACTCCTCTCACAGTCATTTTTGAAATGGTGACATCCCTAGTATCAACACAATGTAATAGCTATATCTAAGAAAATATATGTTTGTATTAATTGTAATATGTTCTGAAACAATTAATTTTTTGTTCAAATGTGTTTGTTTGCGAAATGAATGACCGGTGCCATTTGCCATGTATTTCTTTTGCGTCATACACATTTTTTTTCTGAGGTAAAATCAATATATTGATCCTTGCCCTCTCTCCTAAATTGAGACATGAGCACGTGTCCTGTTTATGGCTTAAATCAGTATCTCATAGGGGTGTGCAAAAATATCGGAATATCGATATATCGTATCGTTTAATGTGATGATACAGTATCGATATCATGGGCTACTGTATCGATATATCACCAAGAGTATTTTTAGGTGTGTTTTACTAAATTATTTTGTTACAGAGCTACAGTTTTGTTGCTTGTGGAGTGAAAGGAAACTCATTTATTCAACACATTTGTTATTTTTACTGTTTTGATGATTAAAATGTTTGTGTTTCATGTGAACTTTGCACAAAAAGTGGTTTAACAAAGACTTTTAGTATCACAGCCATGATTTAGCCTTTATTTTTTATTGAACCGTATCGAATCGATTTGAAATATATCATAACAAATCGAAAGTGCCGCGTATCGAGATATGTATCGTATCGTGGCCTGTGTAACGAGGTGTGTATCGTATCGGCAACTTCTTAATGATACCCAGCCCTAGTATCTCACACATACTGCAGTAGCCTGACCTTTTTGTTTCAAATATGACTTTATGGATTACAGCTCCTTTTCTTCAAGTGGTGTTGTTTCATTGGATTAAGGGTCCTTACATTCATATTGGTTTAACAGGTTTTAATTTCAAATTCAGAACGTTTGGTAGTCACATACATTTGTAATTGTTTGTCCTTTTATGGGCCTCCTAGAGGTTTCTCTCATTTGTTCTTTAGAAACTTCTGTACAGTGCATTTGTATATTTGTATATTTCTTTTTAGATCTTTGAGGCAAGCATGAAGCGCTAAGATGTCAAAATTTCTAAACCAAATATTATAATTGAGATTCTCTGGTATTTCTTGCAGACGAAGACTCATCTCACAGCGCTCGTCACTTGAAACACTTGAGGACATTGAGGAGAATGCTCCTTTACGCAGGTACAAGACCTTTTGTCTTAAGCCCTGATTAAAAAATTTAATAATAGTTTGAAATAACTTTGCAAAGAAAAGTTTATAAGTATAAAGTTTGATAGCAAAATTAGACCGTCATTACTGTTACTCACTGTCACCATAGACCTATCTCCATAGGGATAGATAAGTTTAATGACATGCTGTGGAACATTCCAGGCAATGCAATAACGTCTCAGTGGAGGCAAGAATATCACATCCAGTCCACCGGAAAATTTTCATAATGTACCTTTCAAATGCCAATAATAATAATAATATGTGAATTTGATGTTTTCTGTTTCCAGATGTCGCACTCTGTCTGGTTCACCTCGACCAAAGAGCTTCAAGAAGGTGCACTTCATCAAGAACATGAGGCAACACGATACTCGCAATGGAAGGTATGAATACACTCCATACACTCAATAATACAGGCCCTTTGCGGCTCACGGCTGTGTCCTAGTCAATGGAGTCCTGTGTGAATGTATCTCAGGTTTCAATCACTGACTGTGCACTGCACCACCCTGTCACTTTAAAGGCACTGATTAAACATGTCAGAATGAGACGCCTCCTTCACCTTTAATTTGAATGTCTTTATTTGATCCTCACAGCCCACAGATCACAACATGATGTCCCGTATGTTCACAGTGACATGATTATTCACACTTCATTTATAGAGCACGGAAGTCCCAGAGGAGAGGAGAATGGGTGAATATGTGCATAGTGTATACGTCATACTGAAGAACCAAATGAATAGGCCAATGTATAAAGAACAAGTAGATTGTTGTGGAATAATTCTATATTGCTTGAAGCCTGCTCTTTAAATTATATTACGGATTAAGTTAGAAAAACTCCAACTCAAAAACATGTGTTGTTTGACCACTAGTGGATCATGTCAACCATATTTGGTTATAGCAACGAATGATGCCCTAGTGAAAGAATTTTTCATAGCAAATCTATGCAATTATTTTATTTGCTGTCAGCTAACCTTAACTCACCCAAAGGCCCAGACACTAATACTGTTATGTAATTATTGCTATAGTCCATTGGTTGTTCCACTTAGCATTGTGATTGTGCAGCTATTTTCCCTGTTTTCTGGTTCAAATTTTTTTTCTGTTCAACACCATGTAGGGCAGGTCTGCAAACCATATATTAGCAAAACTGTAGCCTCTGTAATATATTATCAAAGACACATTTTTGCCTGAGGTGTGAAAGTACACATAGACTATTCAGTCCTATTTGGGACAGAGTATCCCAGGATCAACCCTCCATAAAAGCCTACTGTGCAATTTTCTTTTTATAATGAGTCTGACTAATTAAATGAAGTCATATGAGGACAGTTATGTGTGCCTCTGATTGGCCTTTTACCCAAAAAGATCTCTATCTAAAATGAGCTGGATTTTCCACATTATAACTGATGGCAAGGCAAATTGCGCTGTTTATGCTTGGTTGCTTATTTTGGCTGATGAGATTGTGCTGTGTTCCTCTGGTTTTATTCATTCATCAGAGGTTGTTTTGTTCTAATATCATGTCATTGTACTCCATTTATTGAGAAATATGTCTCTTTGGACAGTGTTTAGATCATTTAAAAATAGCCATAGTTTATGAAGTTACAGCAAAACAAGATCATCTTATGAAAATGCATCATTGTTTTTTCCCAAACCACAAACTCTACACTACATATTCTGTTACTGAAAATTCATTTCATTTTTTTCAACTTTCACCCTCTCCAGCTGGACCCATGGATCCTAGACATTGATTGTGAGTTTTTGTTTTTCATAGGATAGTCCTTGTCAGTGGCAGAAGATCCTTCTATAGTGTATTTTCAGTGCTGCCCTATCGAGATTGTAGCCAAGCAGGGTATGTATGACCAGCATGCCGTCCCGCCCCCCTCTCCTCGTGTCTGCCTCCTAACTGCTCTGAAGAGGGTATGCACATGATCTAACAGGGGGCCAAGGAACTGCAGCAAGTGGCAAAAGCTGTTTGAAAGGCAATGTCCTCAAATCAAGTTCTCAAAATGCAGAGTTTATACTTTCTAATGAGAAATATGAACAACTAATTTGCTTCATAGTACTTAACTTTATTGCAGGGGTCTTGGTCTTTTTGCCCTTAAGGACCATCTCAGTACGATCTGATCTAACAACATAAGAGGTGAAAGGATGAAAATAAGAATGTAATTAAATGTTGCCCTGGGGTAGTCTGTAGGACCCCCCAACTACCAATCATTCACTCTCCGCATTCATAGTAGATGTGGTGGGTGAAGTGTCTTGCTTAAGGGCATAACTACAGCACAGGTCCAAGTGAAAATCAAATCTTTGACATTTGAGTTGGTGGACGAGTGCTCTAACCACTCATTGAAATTCCACTTAAATTCTACTTCACTGTAGGCCACAGTCATATGACTTGACGTCTGAAAACAGTAAAAGACCTGCTTATTCTTCTAGGTAATAAAATAGGTACAAGACTGCATTGCTCTCTATCCCAGTTACCATGCTATTACCAGCTGTTACAAGGCTGTAAAGTAAAGTGTGACTAATATTTTTATTGAGCACTGAAGTCTGCGAGAGGGAGAGCAAAAAAACAGTAGCAATTCAGAGAAACTACTGGATCCATTTAAGCAACAACCAAATTTAAAATGATAGTCTTTGGGATCAATCATAGAGGAACTGTTTACTTTTTTGTAACCCATTAAATAAGTCATTCTAGAGTTTGCATGTAAGCTGTTAAGAGCTAAGTTTTAGCTTTTTTGCAGAGAAGCAACAGCATAAAAAGTTAGGGTAAAAAGCAATCACCTAGTTTTTACAAGTCTTAATAGGTCAACCCAGTGAAAAGTAGAAGTAATTACGCAAAAATGGCAAAAAAAACATGTTATCATATTTATTTGCCACTCTGTTTGAATGTCAAGTCTACAAAAGTGCATACCCTCTCTAGACTCTTCTGGTGTCTAACTCTTAAGGGCTGGTTTTGGTGGATGCATTTTTACTCATAACACCTGCAAGATAGACATGCATTATTTATAGATGAGTTGCTATTGCCTGTATAGCTTTGGCTCTAGTGGATTTGGACATTCATTCTTTCTGTTCAAACCGTTTGTTTATGTTATTGCTGTTGCTGGCTTGGTTGTTTCGTGCCTCTTTCAGCTTCAATGTGCATTAAACAGTTTAGATTTTTGCACTGTGGCTGTAAGAGCTATTTATAGGCACTGGATTATCTACAATTGCTGTTGGCCAAATACACCTCCACATCCAGAATGAGGACAGAAACGTTGAGAGAGACTGCCATGCAATGCTGTAATCCATTTGCACAATTGGTCAGGAGGTTGTTGGTAATGTATTCCATTTAGAAATTATGCTGAAAAATGAACCCTCCACCCCACGAGTACTGTGTACTAATTTGAGTTAACATTGGACAAAAAAATCTTTTCCAATAAAGCTGTCAAAGTCATGATGATTCTGTCACCGTGTATGTTTAAGGGAGTTAAATAAATAAGAAAATATGCTCAGAGTCCCACATGTTTGTGTGTTCATTAATGCCCAAGCAAACCAGTAATAACCAGTAATGGTACTGTAAGGTGTTTTGAAAAATAAGACTATAGTTTTATTTTATATTCTTAACAGCAGTAAGCAATTTTATTAATTATTCATAATATGAAAACATGTCAACCAGAACTCCGCTTTAAACCACATGTTTTTCATCCCAAACATATCACTGACAATTAGAAATAGCAGAATCTCCAACTCAGTTAAAACTGTACTTATAATCTAGACTAGACCAGGTATAATCATTGATATAAATATAAATAAACTAGAAGAGTAGTTTTTGTTAACATCTCTTCAAGTAAATTTTAGGTATATTGTTCCAATATTTTACACTTATAATCACTTCACAATTATAATGAGACTTATGTGCTCAACTACATAGCTCCTACAGCCACATTCAAAAGTCTGCATCTATAAGCTCGTAGTTATTGTGTGACCTGCTGGTGCGTTTTTGGGGCATTTGCACATAGGCTTTTGTTGTCGTAAAGTTTGTTATTAACCATTTTATTGTTGTTTGAGTTTTAGCGATGATCCATTGAAGTTGTTTATTAGTCCACCTGGTTTTCCATATACAAAATCTGTGACCAAACAGCCTGCAGTCACATGGATGGTTTGTTTTGGAGGAAGTAAAAGAGAAAAGGGGACACACAAATAGCAGACTGTACAATGGGGGTTAAGCTTAACCAAAAGCCCAAACACCCGTCCAGCTGTGGAATGTCCTAAGCCAGGCGATCAGCATGGGGTCAAAGGTTAACCAATCCCTGGTGTTGTCTGATAACACACTCAGGCTGTTTATGGCAGCAAAGTGTCAAATTCAGTCACTTTGGTCTGATCATGCTCTGAATCTTAAAAAATCTTTTTCTAATAATTTTTTACTGGTTGCTTTGCCTGAAATGTTGCAGTTGTCCTCAGACAGGTCCATTCAGGTGGACTACATAACTTTTCTGGTGGAGGGTTTGTCATCTTCTTGACGCCATTGCCAGCGTTGCAAGTCTGATTTGTGGCCTGGCACCTCCCGCTTACAAGATAATGCTTGTTTTTACAATAGATTTTTTTTTATCATTTAAAACACCTGTAATTGAATAAATGCAATTATAAACGAATACCATCTCCTTGAGGATAATCGGGGGCAACCCCTCCACAAGGCTGTATAAAACTAAAAAAGGAAATATATAGATAGATCGACCCATCCTCTCTCATATGTTCTCAAGCCAGTGTACTCTATGTGAAGGTCTCAGGCCTATTAATATACAGAAAAACTATATATATTATTAAATTGTTAATTCTTTCAGTTTGAGCACTAACATCGCAATGCTATGGCACTGAATGTTGCATTAATGGACATGGTGAACAGAGCTTCATTTGAAAGAGGATCTGATGGTTGGATGTCTAAATTGTGAACTTTAGATAAAGTTTAGCACCAACATTTTGTCAGGTTGCTGAAATGTTTACAATACACTTTTTTTTTTTTTTTTGGCTTGTATCCAGTGACAACAGACTAACTCCAGATGTTTTCGCCAGTGTTCCTCTCCTGCATGTCATGCAGCATGGCACTTGTGGCTTCTCTTTCAGTCCTGACCTAATTTTCCTTGGACGAGCCTTTTATTGATTGTACTTTTCTTCCTCAAAGTCCTGTAATTCTTCCTTTTGATTAATTTCCCTGGCTGTGTCTATCGTATGTGGTTCTTTAAATGCTTATTTCTTGTTCATTTGCCAATATTATGTTCCAACGCCCATCTTCTGTCCCACAGATAACAGTGCCGTTCGTTATAACTCGTCCAGAGCCTGTGCAAAATACAGTCTTCTGCTTATCTGGACAGCATTCAGAACTTCTGACTGGGCTGTGCAAGATAAGAGGAAAAGAAAAAAAAAAAACGTTCAAAATAATTATGGCTGTAGGATTAATCAAATTCAGATTGAAATAGTAACTCACACAGGCCAAAACTATTTTAAAAAATATAATGCCATTTAAAAACTACAAAGTAGTAGTAGTTTAGAGCTTAGAACATGTTGAAATGTATTAGTGTTGTAGTTCATCTTCATGCTCCTGGATGTATTTAAAAATGTGTTCCTATGCAAACAAAATTAATTTTTCTTTTTTATTTTAATCCCAATGCAAACATCTGTATTTATACAAAAAAGCAGGAATTTGATAATTTTCCAAATCATTCAACTTTAGCAAAAAATAAATATTCTTTAGATTAAATTATGTTGATTCTTTCAGTTTTAGTTTTAAAATAACTGGACTATATGCTAAAGAAGGACTATATACTGAATTTCCTCTGGCTGCTTTGGCTGCCTAATGTTATTGTTCTGACTGAGTGCAAAGAGAATGACCCACAGACATGAAATCGCTCCTGTCAGTGTATAATGTGTTTTGGCTTTTACTGGCACTGGCCACAAGCCTTCATGAAAAAGTGCACCAGTGAAAATTATGTCTAGATGTTGCGTGATGCATAAATCAAAAGCCAGACTTATATCACAAAAATGGCGACATAGAATTTAAAGTGGTGATTAATGGGACTGCTTTGATACCAGAATATATAAAATAACATTCCTTAAAGTCTGTGTTGGTTAACTGTCCTCAAAATACCTAAACAACTCATTAATCTTCAGCTTTAAGAAGTATTAATGAGTCTTTATACAGTAGATATCAATTTATTTTATTTCTACATGTGACTGGAATAGGCCGATAATTGTAATGCAATACCATACTTTATTTAATTAATGCATGAATAATTATTTTCCAGTCTCACTAATGCCAATCAAAGCTAAACTCATTTCAAACAAGATAAAAGAAATGCCTCACAAAAATCACTCTTACAAATTAAATATTAATCTCAGTAACTTGATAATATTTGAAAATAAAAATTATAAAAATGAAAAATGTTGCTTTCTAGCCATATTGCTGATACAGTTTTACAATGAAAACCTGCTAAGCCTCGACCAGTATGTTTGATCTGCTCCACTGACACTTAAGTTTACAGTAAGTCTACCTCCAACGAGACAAATTGTGACGAGATACCCCCCTCCTCCTCAAGGGGGCACTTTGCTCCAATTTGGCCTGAGCTGCACCTTGAGACAAGGCCAATTAGAGCGTGTTGGGCAGCTGCTGATGAGGGCAGATCAAAAGAAGGGTAAATGAAGAGGTACTGAAGCACTGGTTGTTAAACTGCTGTCCGCTCGTCATCATCAGGGACGTGAGGCTGGAGGGCGGGAGGCAGAGGCACCCGTCTGGAGGAGTCAGTGCCAAAGAGATGGTGATCGGGCTGGAGGGAGTCGAGCTGGGAGCAGATGGAAAGGTGAAGACTGTTTTTTTAAATGATGTACTGCATATAGTTCAAATACATAAAGGGGGCAACGACATGCCAAAAAATATATATTATGATTTTTTTATTTATTTTTTTTGTCACAATTCAGGTCGACTTAGTATCTTTATAATGTCTTTAAGAGGTAAATAAATTAACCTGCTTGTTCTGAGAGTTCACACTTCACTATGATTGGTTAATTCCACCTGTCACTCATGCAGAGTCTTAAGGATCAATAGGAATGGGTCAGGAGAAGCATTTGTTTGATCACAGAGGTGCATTAAACAGAAAAGCACTCAATCTGACAATATCACCAAAAAGCATACTCTGACAGATGTTATGGATAAGATCACAATTAGATTTTAATCACCATATTACGGTCCTGACTCTGAGAGACTTTTCAACATAAAAAAATAAAATAAAATAAAAATCAAACTACTAAAACATTATGATGGGTTTGGAAATTGTATTCTACTTTTACTGTGTTATTATTTATACGCACAAAAAGACTGAGATTGTTTGTATGACTAATGGTGTCTGATTGACTGAAAAAACAAGGAACATATGAGCTTTGGGCCCGAGGTAGTGAACATAAATATAGTGTTTGTGACCTGATATAGCACTAGCCATCTAGCCAACTGCAGATATATTTCTATTTTAGTTAGTAACACATTTGTTCTCAATAGCCTCTTAAGACAGTTGGATTTGCGTCGCATACACCACATTATGAACAGACATGTATATGAAGTAAAAACATGAATTAAAAAACATGAAAAAAAGAAAGGATTAACACGTAACAGGGTTTTTGCTGGATTACAGGTAATATTCCAAATCTCAGTGGGACTATTCTGGTTAAATAAAGGTCAATAAAAATTCCCAGTGAGAACCAAAATCCTCTTAGACTTAGACAAACTTAACTGATCCACAAGGGAAATTATTTGGCAGTGTAAATGATTTTATTGCACACGTTTTTGACTGCTCAGTATTTCAACATTCCACTTCCTGTATTTTACAGACTGTGTCGTACACCCAGTTCCTGTACCCCACAAATGTCCTGGGCGGAGGCAGGAGGAACACCATCGACTCCACCTCGTCCTTCAGCCAGTCCCGAAACGCCAGCCACCGCAGCCTGATCCTGAACCGGGCCAACAGTAACCAGAGCAGCTTAGACACAGGTAGCCTCTTCAGTTTAAACACTGTTAGTTTATAGTGGGACTCCATCCAGAATCAATGGACAAGAGGAGAGGGCTGCCAGATGGTGTCGAGTTTGAGAAAGTAGACAGGAGCAACATTTGAATAAGACTAGGCTAAGGATGGGAGAGGATACAAACCAAAACATGTTAATAATTTAAACTCTAGTGCTTCCCTTCAGCTGTTGTACCGAGAGTGTATCAAAAATTTAGGTCCAGATGGCGATGGAGTTCATATTTAAAATAAAAACTCAAAGAAAATCCCAAAAACATAGTACATAAGGTTGCAACTATTTTATTTATTTTCAAAAACAACCAGTATTTTTAAACTGCTGGACTGCATCACATACTGTACTTAAAGGTGTACTAAATAACTTTTGTAGTGGAAGCTCTGCCATCTTCTTGTCTTCCTGGAGATGTTATTGCTTTGCCTGGAGTGTTTCATAGTAAAGCATTAAACTATCTACAGCAGAAGTGTCAAACTCAAATTCACAGAGGGCCAAAATTAAAACTGGGACTAAGTTGTGGGCTAAACTAAATATTAAAAAATTTCAACAACATCTGCATGTTTTCTCTTCTTTCCAGATATGTAATGTTAAACCTTTTCTTATTAAAATAAATGATTAATAAAAGTTTTGCTTAAACGCTGAAACATAATATAAAATAATAACACAAGTTTAAATAAATAATGTCTCTATAACCTATCTGTAACCTGCAGGCCAGCTCTAATACATATTTGATATGATCTTGTGGCCAAATATAATTATATCGCGGGCCAAATTTGGCCCCTGGGCCTGAGTTTGACATGTCAGTATCTTGCATTTATTCAGCTAAGGGTGTTTTAGTGCTCAAAAACATGCATTCTCACTGTGAATGGGGTTGCCTCTATGCAGATCTGACCTGTAACTTAATCTGGTGACATCCCTTGAAGCAGGTGTCAGGCCTTCTCACAGAAAATTTACATAGTGCAGCTTTAACACAATTTAAGAGTATTTCTTTTGTCCTTGTTTTTTTTTTTTTTTTTTTTTAAAGTGGGTCATAATAAAAAGACCATAATACAGCAATCTCACAAGCAGAGGACTAGATATACAGGTCTCAAAACAAACAAAAACATTTTAATAATTCAATGCACTCTCCCGGACTTCAGCTGTAGAACCAAAAAGAAAAAAACAATTATGTAACAATTGGAGGAAATGTACTGAATACATTTGATGAAGCATGGTTGTTTCTGTGCACTGCAGGGAACGATTTTGGAGATTTTCGAGAATATGACCCCAACCTTTTGGACGATCCGCAGTGGCCTTGTGGGAAACATAAGAGAGTCCTCATCTTCCCTTCATATATGGTGAGAAACAACATCATGATGATACAGTATTTTAGGATGGCGCCATATTTTCACAAACACAAGAAAAAGTATTAACGTAATTATTCTCCTCTTTTTATCAGAAAGTTAATCATGCTTTGGTCAGAAATGTGGCTACAGCTTTTGTTGATTTGACCTTATTACAAATTCTCCACATACCACAGTGTTGGTATCTTTGTAATACTCATTCTTCCTGCATGTTTTGTCTGACTCCTCACACATTCCCCAGACTTCAATAACATAAACAATGGCGCTGTCTTTTCTGCAATATTTAATTAAAAATATATGTTTCTGAACTCTTCAAGGTGTTTATTATTGTTGAGTTGTGTTCTTTAGCCTACAGTATTATTAAAACAGTGAAAGATATAATGAACCAATAGAGAATCATGATAGAATAATAGACTAGTTTTTGCCTCAATGTATATGTAGTTAGCCATACATTTCTAACATGTTAAAAAAAATGTCAAAACTAAATGCTCATAGTACAAAAAAGGTCACTGATGTTTTGGTGTGAAAGAGAAAAGGACCCATCTCTGTTCTCATTCATTCATTTAGTCTGTTTTTGTTACAGAGTCTGGTCTGACATAGTTGAAATACTCAGTCAAGGCCAGTGTGTTGTGCTTTCTCCCTTTTCTTCACTTTTAAACCCTGTGTGTCCATAACAATGTAACAATAGCTATTGTGTTTACTACAACATGAGGGACCCATACATTCCTTACATTTTAGGGTACAGACATGTATGAAGCATAACCTTGAAGTACAAGTTCAAGTTCAGTGTTATTTTTTTAGGAAACTATAGAAATGCCCCACAGTGATTTGTATTATTTTCACAATTAAAAAATGTTTAGTGTAGAAAGCAAATAACTGTTAAATTACATCAAATATACTTTATTATCCAAACCAAAAAATTGTTTTGGGCAAAGTAAAAAGACAAAATTTATAAAAAATATTGCAATAGTGCAATGTAAAAAATAGAAATATGTTACTTTCTTTAAAGCATGTTTTAATGCACAGAGAAAGGTTTATTGTTTTAGGCAGTAAGGGACAAGCTTGGGTTTCCTATTATTAAGTATTTAATAATGTTATATAACCAATACTTGTCTATTTACTGTAGCTTTGTCCAATGGTGTCCTGTACAGGTGCAATTAGTAAACATATAGCTTTGTTTCCCACTCTGCTCTACTGACACGCCCTTGAGGTGCTCTGAACCTGTTTGAACAATGACCTGATGGAAAATCCTCTCCAGTTGCTTCCAGGTCAGACACACTAAAACAACAATCACGTCTTCAAGTTGTGTTCTCAACAACTTAAAGACTTGACTGTAGAATTTGATATAAGTGCTGCTGGCAATTGGCAGAAATTTCTTAACAAAATCCTCAAATATTGTTTTTCAAAAATCTAAATCAGTTTTTAGTCATATTTTGACAAAAATTCTGCCTATGCGTAATACTGTAGGGAAACAATGTTTTACATGGAACTGATGGAGAGTTTTTGTGTCATGTGGAAAAAGACCTCGAAATTACATAGATATCCTTACACAAGGACAAAATATCTGCACTTTGACGTTTCAGAGTGATGAAAAATGTGCACCTCTGCCATGGCAATTACCAGTTAAAAACAAAACATAAACAAGAAAGTGATGCCCATAAATTTTGTTTCTATTGTGGCTGAAGTCACACAAGTGCCAGAGTCATCAGTGAATCCTCGCTCTGAGCTGCTGAATCTTACACCACAGTGAGAGGTGGACCTGGTCTAGATCTGGTCTGGATCTGGTCTAGACCTGGACCGCACCTGGTCTGGACCTGGATCAGACTTGCACTGGACATAGTCTGGACGCAGTCTGGATCTAGACCTGGACTGAACCTGGTCTGGTCCTGGTCTGGATTAGATCTGGTCTCTGTGACATGATCTTGTTTTTTCTTTCAGACCACAGTGATCGAATATGTGAAGCCCTCGGACCTGAAGAAGGACATGAATGAAACTTTCAAGGAGAAGTTCCCTCACATCAGGCTCACACTCAGCAAAATCAGGAGGTAATGAGAAAACCAAGGAATATTAAATTACACATTACACATAAATAAATTACACATATATTATATTTGTGCAATGTCTAAAATCCAAATAAGACCATGTTTCCCAAATCTTATAGAGTACTATTTTATTCAGAGCAGACTTTCAGAACAAAGCAAGCAATGGAAAATATTAAACATTTTTACTATGTAAATTCTTAAGGGTAACAAAAAGCTAGTAACAACTTCAACCATTCCATACCCGTGTCAAATAACAATGGTTGTAATTGTTTATATAATAAAATGTCCTCTGCAAAGAACAGATCTTGTTGTACCTCTGGTTTAGATTTCTACAAACATGTTTTGTAATTCATGGGATTAGTTTATCAGTTCATATTTCAGTCTTCTTTCTAATGTTAACACTCCTGATGTTGTTTACAGTGTGCACTCTGGACAGAATCTTACTTTTTAAACATAAATTGCAAATCTAATCACAACTGTGTTTCCTCTTCAGTTTGAAGAGGGAGATCAAAAAACTGGCCCAGGATGAGTGTGGATATGAGGAGCTGACTGTGGCCATGGCATTCGTCTACTTTGAGAAACTGGTTCTTCAAGGCAAACTGCACAAACAGAACCGTAAACTGTGTGCGGGCGCGTGTGTGCTGCTGGCGGCCAAGATCGGAGGAGATCTGAAAAAACACGAGGTCAAGATCCTAATCGATGTGAGTTTTCCCTGACAAGTAACTCACTGTGAAGGAAAAGAGCGGGAATGTTCCTGGAAAGATTTGTTTTGCTGCGGTTTATCTCAAGATTCTTACTATGCACAAGCCACAAGCAAACGTTATGTTATGATGTGAAAGCCTTTGACCACAACGTGTTGGTACACTCTATCTCTGTCTCAAATTCATCTGGACTCGGCACTTTTCAGTAATATGTGTCCCTATTTCTTATATATTTCAACTGGTGCGTATTAATCAACATTAGCCTACTACCCTATATTTATGCAAGATAATTATTATGTAGACTAATTATAGAAAACCATGTGTCCCAGGCTTGCCATGCAGACACCACACCCAAATTGCTAAACACTTATTGAATTTAATAGAGCTGTAAAATGACATGAGTATTAGTTAGTTCAGTGGTGAGAATTACAAGGACCTGGTAAATATAAAACATACCACAATAAGTCATTGCTCTCTTTTTAATGTATTTATTCACTCTTGAGTTTTGTTTGTGAACACAGTAAAATCTACAAATTAGTTTCCCACAATGCATGCTAATATAAAAGCATACACTACTATACTGCTTTAACGAAGCATTGTGTAACTTTTCTGGTGGAGGGTCAATCAGCTGCTTGTCTCCTCGGAGATGTTATTGCTTTGTCTAAAATTTCTACAGTAGAGCATTTAATTAAGGTCCATAATATCCAAAGAGACAAGCAACTTATAGGTCAGATCTCTGATTCTAGCCATAACATGTGTTTCAAGACTCTTTCAAACACTAAAACACCTGTAATTGCAAGATCTATAAGTTTAATGCCATACTGTGACACATTTTAACCATGGAAACAAAGTGAGTCCCCTGCAAAAAAGTTACACTGTGCTCCTTTATATAATAATAAAGTATCCTTATGTGAACTGAATTTTGTTTTGTTTTTTCTAAATTGAACTTTACATATTTTATGTTTCTCACATCCTTCTTCACATTTGTGGACAAAACATCCTTTTTTCGCACAGTATTATCAATGGTCACACTTCTGTTTCACAACTCCCTGTGAGATTTTTGTTGTCTTGCACCTACAACAACACTCATATTTATCCAACTTTTTCTTCTCTTTTCTTCCCAGAAACTTGAAGAGCGTTTCAGGGTAAACCGCAGGGAGTTGATCGCCTTTGAGTTTCCCGTCCTGGTGGCTTTGGAGTTCAACCTGCACCTGCCCGAACACGAGATCATGCCCCACTACAGACGCCTGCTGCAGACCTCCTAGCATTAGTGTCCCATCAGGAGGAGGGGCACCCTGCTCCCCTCCTGATCAAACCTCTACCCCCAAAGCCCACCTACAAACCCATCAACACCTGCCTGATCCCAAACAACCTCCAGTTAGCCAAAGCCGCATCAGTGGTTCTCAAACTCTCTACTGGATTTCTCTCAATACTAAAGACGTCACAATAGCAAGTTTTGTTGTCTTGAAGAACCATTGCGATTTCATAATTATTCACGATTATCAATGTTACGACAGTAAAATCCTTAACTGTCTTTTATTTTGTCTATTAGATCAACATTCCTCAGTATGTTACCACTTCTATAAAATAAAACGTTTGTGAGCATTTTACATTTAAGTGAAGTGAAATTTAAAATTTTTGCTTATAAAATTTCAGAAATTTTGTTTTTATTAAATATATTAGTGTAACCTGAATAACAATGATCAGTTAACCCAATAATCTTGATCCCTACTAAACACTAAAACAAACCTAAATCGGATAAATGGGAATAAAAACATACAAAAGTACTAAATAAAACTAGTTTCAAACGATTGAACAGATTCTAATTTGAGTACTCCAAGAAGAACTGTACCACCGTTTGAGAACCACTGCTCTATATCATTCATTCATCACTACAGACTCTTGCTTTCTTGTGTATTTTACTCCTCTTGTTGATTAAGAGAGATTTTAAGTTTGATTTTGGACTTTTTCTAATTTAAACCAATGATTGTAACATTTTTACGATCTTTCAACAATTCCTTTTTTTCTACAAGCGTTTGCCTCTCGACCTGGTTTTTCTGGCTAGACTGTTATTTCTAGAGTGACTCATCGTTTTGCAAGTCTTCTAAGTGCACTTTTTATATAGAGCAAGACGCGGGAGGAGGATTTTTAACTCGCTTTGGGACTAACACTGAAAATAAAGCTGTTTTATTAGCACCACAAGTCATTACCATGGATTACTGTAACTTCCACAGTTTTCTAACAGCTCCTCTGCATGATTGTACACAAGTTTGCAACCCCACGAGGACTGAGCTTTTCACCAAGTCTTTTGTACCTGGACACGCCCCCACGCTGTGATCAGTGTCTGATTTGAGTGCTCTATGTTAGAGTGAATCGCTAGCACATTGACTGTGCTGAATAAGGGTCTGGACTGAAGTTCTGGAGATGTCCAAGAGTGCAAAAAAAGCCACATTAAAGAAACATTATACAAGAGGTACAGATCTAGTTCTGTTTGAACAGTACATGTAACACAGTTCTACCTATGGAGAAGCAGACAGGAGTTATGGTGAAGACATTGGTAAAAGCAAAACAGCATGCTTTTTTTTTTTTTTGTTGCCATTTCTGCCAAAGCAAATTATCTATCTCTCACTGTATTCTTGTTTTGGCTTTGTATACCAGATGCCCTTACTGGCTCAATCCACTGACAGGTAGGAAGAACTAGGAAGATTTATAACAGTATATGCTGTACATAATTTGCTTCAGTACATACAACATGTGTTTGTGCTAGAACATAAAAAACAAGATCTCAAGTAGTTTAGCAATAAATTAAAATGCATATACAAAATTACATTTATTGCATACTGTGTATGCCTCCTCTAAAGACGCTCTTCATTGTTTAACTTAGGCAGTAGAACATGTAGCTTTATGGCCCTGACTTTGTTAGTTCATGTCAATATATATTTTTGTTTAATGTTTTGGTGCCAGAATAGAATTTGGTGCTTTAAACAAGCTGTTTTTATGGCAACAATAACACATTTATGTCTAAAAACACTGATGCCTGCCTACCCTGTCCCATGTGACCCTAAAGTAGGTCAGTGTGTGGCCCTGAATCTTAATAAAGTCTCACTAATTAAAAGTACTTGAGATATTTTCTGTCTGCTTCTCCCAAAAACATGGTCTTAAATTGAACCTCTTCAGCCCTCTCGTCTTTAAACCATCTGAAGTCCCTCCAGACACAGTGTTACGTTTTAAATGAAGTGCTTCTCAAGTGTCCAAACATAGGACATATTTCCATTATTGCTTTGGCTTTTTACAATAAGGGATTTTAGTAACACATTTCACACAAAACTTAAATTCCATTGTGATTCTGTGTACTAATAACTTCAAAATCTGGCATGTGTCTTAATTTTATTCCATTATTGAATTGCCTTTGGGCGCAGGCCTACTTGAACAATATTACCAATGCTGCTTGAAGTAATTTGATTTTTCACTTAAAGCTAATTGTAATGGAGGAAGCATGTAGGAGTGATTTAAAGTGTAAAAATACTGAGCTTGTTTCTATTTGCAAAGAGTCCAAAGATGTAGCTTTTTTTTTAGAATGGGGAGGAACTCATGGGCAACGTCACCTGTGTATGTATGTAAATAAACTCATTGTTCAATCTCAAAACACTGTCTCATGTCTTGTATTCTGAACACCATATGCTTTTTGTCAATGATAATAACAGACTCAGACAAACTGTATTGATCCATGAGGGAAATTACTTGGGCATTTGGCAAAGAGCAGAAAGTAACGTATTAAAATTCATAATGAAAATAGCATAATTTCTACTAACGAGGTACAGATATGCATAGGACTGAGTATCATTCAGAAGTTTATCGATTTATACCTCGATACATAAGCCACAATATGATACATATCTTGATACAGTGAGCTTTCGATTCGATATGATTCAGTACGATATATTTCAAATTGATTTGATACGTTTCAATAAAAAAATGCTAAATCTTGGCTGTGACACTAAAAGTTTTTGTTAAACCACTTCTTGTGCAAATAATTAATATGAAAAACGCACAGTTTAATCATTCAAAACTGTGAAAATGTCAAAGGTGTTGCATAAACAAGTTTCCTTCCTCTGAACAAGAAACAAAACTGTAGCGCTGTAACAAAATAACTAGTAAAATGCACCAAAAAATACTCTTGGTGATATCGTGCGCTGCTGTATCAATATATCGAAACTGTATCAGCACATTAAACAATACAATATATCAATATTTCAATATTTTTGCACACCCCTAGATATGCATATTTGTACATGACTATAACACTAGCTGGGGCAAGTTATGGAAAACAGCCCAGTTGGTAGAGAGTTCTGATGCAAAGATTGACAGGTGAATACTGCCACTGTTCTTTGACAAGACACCTCGTCTCCCATGTCTGAGTATAATCGTGTATGAATGATAGTGCGGATGAGAGAGCAGTTTCTTTGAGAACCTTGAAGGTAGAAAGTGCTTTGTAAAACAATTACCATAGACCATTTCACTCAAACACATCTGGAAAGACTCTAAGTACATTGGAAGTGGATTGATAAATGATCCATTGTGCATATGCAGCAAATTGGCATGATAAAATATGTTTTGTTATTCTATTACAACTTGTTGATACATACATCAACAGTGATACAAAATATATCTGTTCAAAGTGAAGTATGTTTCTCATTTGTGGTTCTAAATCAGGAACAGGACTTTGAAGGTTCTGTATTACACAAAACTGACTCCTGTGATTTTATAGCCGTGTTAGAATGTTATTATCTCCTCAAAAACAGAGAGTTATGTTTTCTTCTCACTCACACATGTTTGACTAACCCTGCATTATTAGTCCATACATCTCCAAAGCTTAAAATGCTATTTCAACTTGTGATGTCATGAAGCTATAGTTTTCAAGTTAACAGCTATCTTTTGCCATTTGTTCAGTAGAGATTGGAGATTACAGGACTGAATTTATCCAAATAATTCTTATAAATGTATATGGAGTTTAAAAACATAGTGGAGCAGTTCATGTATTACCGCATGATACCACAAAGTAGAGGTGGTGTTTTCCACCTAAGTATGCAGGGTTTGTGTGTTAAACATGTGTAAATATACAACTTCAGGCGTGTTTGTGATGAGGAAACAACATTATAACATAAATCAGAAATATGGGCCATTTAAATGAGCCCATACTATCAAAGAAAAAGATGGTTACAAATTTTGAGCTTTGAGCTAAACTATTCATAAAGCATTACAGTAGGCCCCTGTAACTCTGGCTCATTCAACACATAACAGATGGAACAATAATTTTTGGGACTCAGTATTTATAGTGGGTACGTTTTCTTTGTATTAATGGTAAATATTTGGTTAATTTTGTCTTCTACAATGAGATTTGAGGTTTAGAAGGTCAAATGACAAACTTCTCAGTCATCACACAAACTATCTACTTAATTGTTGCATTCTATTATTTATTTATTGCAGTTCATATGTTGTAGTTTTTTTTAAAACAATTTTATACATTAAAGGTGTATTGTGTAACTTTTCTGGTAGAGGGTCTGTCAAATGCTTTTCTCCATGGAGATGTTATCGCTTTGTCTGAAATGTTTCACAATATGGTTTCTATCTTAACAAAGACCAAACCAGGAGAGGCAACCCTGCTAAACAGTCAGAATGTCTGTTTTTCTAGGTATTTTGAGCTATAAAACCACCTGTAATTGAATGTAATTGGATGTAACTGAATACATATAAGATAGAGCTGTTTAATGTCATACTGTGGAATATTCCAGGAAGAGCAGTGACATATCAACAGAAACAGGGAAACAGAGAAACAAATGATGAATCCCCACCCAAAAAGTTACATACAATATTACACACAGTAATACTTTTTGGAGCATTCTTCTGCTTTATGGTTTGGATTCAGTATTATCTTTTATCGTCTACTTTCAAAATTTGTTATCCTGACAGGCCTAGTCATGACCCAGATTGAGGGTAAACAGCAGGGCGTGACCACTCCCACTCTCCTCCTGCCTTGTCTCGTGCAGCCATCAAAACAAGCCCCTGGACAGCAGCAGCATACGTGGCTAAGGCCCCCGCATTCACAGACTAATGCCCTCGGCCGCTGCTCCATACAGGGGCCATTGAGGGCCTTCCCGAGTGCACACACATAGAGAGAGAGGGGCAGAGAGAAACTATTCAGAGTATTCCTTTAACACAACGTTGGGCTGAAGCGGCACATTGGCCCCTTCCTGTCATCCAACTGTGACTCAGGGCTTTGCCTCTGTACACTGTCAACACCGGTGCATGAAAACAAAGTCAGTACATGTCAATATTACCACTGACAGTGAGGAATGTTACTGTTACAGTTACTGCAGAAATAGCCATCTAAAATGAAATATCAGTAGTAACAATTACTTCCAAATGTTAACCTGGGTAGAGGAGATTTTGTCTAGAGGATCTGACTAATTTCAAGGTAGTTTTCACATTTGTCCCCTCTTCCAAATCAAAATGAGCTAAAGAAATTGCTCACAAAATAAGATCTATAGGCCTAGATATAGATTTCAACATACATTAACTTGAAACTGGTCAGAAATGTTATGACAAGTTTTTACAGGAGTCAAGACATCTATGCAAACCATTGTACATTCATGCACAGGCAGAATATGCAAACTTCCCATAGAAAGGCCCCACCCAGAACCCACACCCACATGTAACTGAAGCCAGTACCTGTCCAATGAGGTTCATTTGCTCTTCCCATATTTTATGTTGTTAGGTTCTTTTTTCAGACCAAAAGTTTCTTTTCATACCTGACAGTTTTGACTGTTCACTATCGCTCTTCCTCAGAGTAGTCACATGATGTTGCTGTGACGGAAGGAAAACGTAAAGGAAAACAACAAGTTAGAGAGAAAAAAAAAAACAGAACCAGAAAAGAAAAAAAAAAAAAAAAAAAACACAGGCATGGTAACATCACCATACATCAGGGGCATAATAGAAAAGGTGCAGTGAGAAAACACATCATGAACACACCAGTGAAACCGTACAGAAAACTCACTTTCTCATTCACCTAAAAGACAAAATAGAACCGGAGCATAAGTGTAATGTCATATATGAAGTACACTGCATGTGTTGCAATAACACATACATCAGAGAAACAGGGAGGGCACACAGTACACGAAAAAAAAAGAACATAGGACAGAATGTGAGAAGGAAACAGCGAAGATGTGCACATGAGCAAGAAAACACAAAGCAGAACAGGAAGAACTCAAATCGGCCGTTTCTGTCCACTGTAAAAGACAGAAGCACATTACGGACTGGGACAGAGCAAACATCAATGGGACAGGGGAAAACAAATAATGTCGCTGGATCAAAGAGGTAATGGAAATACGGAAACGTGCCCACGGGACTAAACCGGGACGAGGGGACTTTTTTATTCTCACACACCTAGAATACTGTCGTGAGGAAATCAGACTGCAGATGGCGCTGTCGTCCTGCCTCCACTGGTAGTAAGACAGTGCCAAAACCTGTATAAATCAGCTGACCGGACATGTTACAGCAACATCATGTGACCACTTTGAGGAAGACCGCTAGTGAGCAGTCAAAAACAAACTCTTGGTCTGAAAAATGTACCTAATAACATAGAAGCCAGTACCGTCTTGATGTGTGTTCTAATTACTTTTCTGTCCAAACATGCACAGTTGGTCAAATCCTCCAGTCAAGGTACTGACCACATAATCTTATAGCGCAGGATCTGGAGATGGGTCCTTGCT